TGAATGGCTTCTGTCGCTGAAAGATCACCTTATACGGCCTCTAATGCTAAAAGATCACCGTGAATGGCCTTCTAACGCCAAAAGATCACCGTGATCGGCCTCTAATGCTAAAAGATCACCGTGAATGGCCTTCTAACGCCAAAAGATCACCGTGATCGGCCTCTAATGCTAAAAGATCACCGTGAATGGCCTTCTAACGCCAAAAGATCACCGTGATCGGCCTCTGACGCCGAAAGATCACTTTAAACAGCCTCTGATGCCAAAAGGTCACTATGAACGGCCTCTGGCGCTGAAAGATCACCTTGAACGGCCTCTAACACCGAGAGATCACCGTGAACGATGTCTAATGCTGACAGCCAATGACCTTTAAGCCCCAACTTGTTATAGGAATTTATTCCGCAACTATTGGCAAAATGTCTTCGGGACTGAGGTCACTGAACAGTTTTACTTTTGAACTTGCTTTGCCAGATGAACTCTTTTGAATGTGGTTTCATTTCATCACACAGCACTGATTCTTCTTAAACGAAAGTCCCACATGATTTCAGAGAAAAGCTGCCAATTCCAGTTAAACAGGCAGAGGGAAGCAGAGTGGAGGCATCAGCCTGAAAGGTCAGTATGAAAAACAGCTCATTTCAGGACGGCTGTGCTGCCGTGACGAAAACAGCAAACCGTCAGATCTCTGCAGATGCCGTTAAAGAGCCCATGTCCTACATTTTCTTGTGTTTTATTTTTTTGTCTCGAATCCGCTGGTGTGGTTTAGCACATCAAATACAGTCATATTTCATTATGACTATGCAACACTAACGATATTTGCTTAAATATTCCGGTAGTTATTGGTAGTAAACCTGGGACCAGCTTTTTAAGTAAGACAAAAGAAATGTTAAGGAAGAAGACAATTTTAATGATTTTATAAATATAAACAATATTGTTTGCATTGATCCTTCACCTCTACCTTTGTACTCCCAGCAAAAACACCCTGTAAACGCTATGATTTCACTAGTTTTAACAGAAGAAAAGGTCCAGGAATGATTCATTTAAACATTAGAAGCTTTCCTTAAAGGATAAAATGGATCAACTGAAAGTTCTGATTAAACAGTCTGATCCAGATATATGTCTTGTTTTTTTTAAATATGTGAAAAAGAAATATTTCAAACAATTTTTTTCCAAAAATGACATCATTCCTAGCAGCAGTCAACAAACATGCCCCCCCATAAAAAGCAAGAATAAGAGACAGATTGAGTCCCTGGTTTACCTGGGAGATTTTGTCATTGCTTAAAGCAAGAAATAAGCCATGGTCTGTTGTCAGACACACTGGGGAGAGAGAACTGGCTTATATTCAGGCGACTGAGAAATAAATGTACCTCTGAAATTAAAAATGCCAAATCAGATTATTATCTCAGCTTGATCTCCAACTCTTCTAACATTCTAATTTTCTGGTCAGCAGTAAATTCCCTCAAAAATACTCCTCTGTTCCCCCGAACACAATTTCAGTTGATAATCATTTGATATGTGACCAGGAAGAACTTTGCCAAGCGTTTAACGTTCATTTTTCTGCGGCTGGTCTTATGTTTGAAATACTGACTTGAAGCTGTTCAACTGCTACCCAGAGCCACAGTCTCTCCACACTCCAGACTCTCTCTCCACACATAGTGGCTAATGCCCTCAGTGCTGTCCACTCATGAAAAACTACAGGTGAAGGTGGTCTGGACCCCTATTTCCTGCGTCTCGCAACCCCGGTTATTTAAGAACATACTGCATACATTTTTAATCTTTCCATTTTACCTCGCAGAATTCTCAGTATCTGGAAAACAGCTCATTATTCTGCTGCATAAAGTAGACGAGGTGGCAAATCTCAATAACTACAGAGTCTCAAAACTGAAACTGTCTTGTGAAGTTAAAATTTTAGAATCTTTAGTAAAGCCAACTCAAACTATTCCTTTATGGAAACACTGTCCTGTTTAACTTTCAGTCTGACTGTAGAGAAAAACACAGCACCACCTCGGCGACTACACTGGTTGTAGATGATCCACATGGCCTTAGACAGGAAGAAGCACCGTGCTGCCATTTTTATGGATTTAACAAAGGCTTTCGACACTGTTAACAACAGTCAGCTTTTGGGACACTTAAAAAGGACTGACCTTAGCAATAATGCAATGCAACGGGCCCAAAAGACAGAAAACAGTGTGTGGCACTGGGTAACCATAAATCAGATTGAACTCCTGTAATCAAAGGAGTCCCACAAGGCTCAGTCCTGGGTCCAGTTTTATTTAACATATACACCTATTTATGTCTGTGTGTGCATGTGTGTGTGTGATCTCGCCCACTGTGCACTTGTACACAGATGACATGATTTTATACTGTTCGGCCAAATCAGCTCATGCAGCAGTAGAAAAGCTCCAGTGCTTGTTTAACGCCTTACAGAAGGCTCTTTTACTTTTAAATTACTTTTAAATGCAAAGAAATCTACGTTTACGCTGTTCTCCAGATCTTCAAATATAGTTTTAATGCTGTAAATATTACTACCCTGACAGGATCCAGCACTGAGCGAGTCACTATAGGCTGAATGAGAAACTCAGATTTAAATCTCATATTAATTGACTAGGCAGTAATTGCAGACAGAGGCTTGGATTCCTTGCATTGATCAAAATAAGGCTTGTCTGCCTGAGTATGCTGGAAAAACAGCTGTGGAAGCAAACTTACTATCAGTTTTGGACTTTGGACTTTGGTGATGTAGCCTATAGACATGCGTCTGCCAGTACCTTCAAACCACTGGACTCTAGACTGGATAGACTGGAGTCTATCACTCCACTCACTAGCAGCTCGGCAGGAAACTTATTTCTGGCCTATTTTTATTTATAAATGACTCTCCAGCCGTCTGCCAGCTTATATCTCATCTATGGTCTCTATAAATAACATTGACAGTAATTATCAGACTCGCTTTAGTGACTGGATCACCTGTCAGGTACTGAGTTTCTACTGAACTGGGAAAATCTGCCTTCAGTTCAAAGAACCACTGAGCTGGACTACAGGAGTCTCACTCAGTCACTCAGTCATTTAAACTTTTAGTCTCTGAACACCTTCAGACACACTGAACCTGTTTTAGTTGAGTTTAACTTTCATTTTATTATGTTTTTTTTTCTAAGAAATTGTATTTTTTCTTTTTATTTGACTTATTTTTTATTTGATCTGGTTATTGTTTATTTTATTTTATTTTATTTTATTTTATTTTAGTTTTTACTTTTTATAGTCCTTGTACTTTTATAATCCTTTTACTTATTTACTTAAAAGTTTATTTTTCCTTATTTATCCTTTTATTTTGAAAGTTGTTAACAGGTTTTAATTACTATATCTTGGTTTTATGTATTTTTCTTGCTCCTCATGTTAATTAATTCTTAATTGTTTTCTTTTTTCCATTTTTGTTTGATTTTAATGTTAATCTGTTCATGTAGTTCGGTTTATTTTAGTTTTAGTTTTCATCTCTTTGTTCCTTTGCGCTGTTAATGCTCGGCTGCACTGAAAATGAGGGTCACCCTTAATGTATTTACAAGTGTAAATAAAGGCTGATTGATCGATTGATTGATTTTATATCACCATTTTTAACCCTTAGAAACTGAAACAGTCATTATAGCCTCACCTTCAGATTTGCGCAATATTCCCCTTTAAACTGCCCTCTAATGTGTAAATAATGAATACTAGTCATCTATTTGTACTATTTTATTTTTATCTTTAAAACACCAGATTTTACCTTTTTACTTTTTCTTTTTTCGGATTTTTAAAATGTATAATTATTGCCTAAGCCAAGCGATCTCATCTCTAGAATGTATTTTTACTTTTTCTTTTTATTATTCAAGATTTTTTAAAATGTAAAATTATTGCCTAAGCCAAGCGATCTCATCTCCGAAATCTATCCTTACGTTTTCTTTTTTTTCTTTACTACTTCTGTTTTTAAATCTATCACAAAAATGAATAACTTTTAAATTAAAGAGCCTTTATTATGACTCGGCTCTAAACGTGTTTCGGCGCGAGCGTTCACCAGCGAGAGTCACTATGTATAACTCCACACAGGTGATATTAATGACGTCTGCTCAGTCAGATTCACGTTTCTGTATGAGTCTGGAAGCCCATCCCACAAAGCACCTTCACCAAAAATGTTTTCTGTCTTAGTTTTTTAAACAGTGAGTGTGTTTACACACACAATAATCTGATTTCTGCATACATACATCATCTAAACCACTTATCCTTCTGGGTCGCGGTGGGGTGCTGAAGCCTATCCCAGCTGTCATTGGGCGGAAGGCAGGATACTCCCTGGACAGGTCGCCAGTCCATCGCAGGACAGACAGACAGACAGACATACACAATCACATCTAGGGGCAATTTAGCACGTCCAATTGTCCTGACTGCATGTTTTTGGACTGTGGGAGGAAACCGGAGTACCCGGAGGAAACCCACGCAGACACGGGGAGAACAGGCAAACTCCACACAGAAATGACCCTGGTCACCCGGCCAGGAATCAAACCCAGGCCATTCTTGCTGTGAGGCAACAGCGCTACCCACTGCACCACCGTGCCGCCTCTGATTTCTGCAGTTATCCGATACTCCGATCTAGGAATCCGATTAAGAAATCTGATAAAGAGGCTGGATTTTAGCTCAGTAATCAGATTTCTCAGTGCATGTGAACTCTTACTCTGATTTCTTTCGGATTTCTCAGTCAGAGCATGCGTGAAAACAGACTGCGGTACTGGAAATAAGCGAGCAGCGTCGCCGCGAGACGCAGCAAAACACTTCTGGAGTGAAGCTGAAACCAAATACATGATTGACAAAGTGAAGGATTTAAATTTTCTTCATCTTCCAGATGATGTATGTTCATATTTTCAGGCAAAGTGGCGCAATGTTTTTTAAAAAAATGAGGTCTGAATTTTCCATTACGTTTACGTCACGTAAACATCTGATTACTGTCTGACTCATGTACACCTGGAGTTTCCCCATTATCTGATTACTCAAGTGCATATAAACACATTGATCAGATTACTGACAAAATCTTTCTGCAGTTATCAGATTATTAAGTGCATGTAAACACACTCAGTGTATAAATCTTTATAATGTTTTTGGTAGGTTATTTGTTTCCTCCTCCGCTGAATCGAGGACTGAGGTTTCCTGAACCTGCAAAAGAAAATAAAGCTCAGCATCAGCTCCAACAATCTAGTACACACATTTTAAGTGATTTTATGTTTTATTTTATTTTTTCCCCAGTGTGTTAAATTCAGTAAATAAAGTAATGGTGTATTAAAATGTACAGTAGTGTGACTCTGTAGAGGATGTGTAACTTATTTACACTCAGAACATCAACAAATACATGTTCAAACTTCAAACTTTTGCACACAATTATAGTTTTATATTTCAGGTTTTCATGTTTCAGAACAATTTTTAAATCATTTTAACAAAACCATTAATTTAATAAGAGGTAAACTGACAAAAACAATGAATATACTGTATTACTGTATTGCTCAAGCAACATAGATACATGTTTAAGTACGCATATTATTCAATAATCTGTCTAGAACAATTATTACTGAGTGAGTTCTGCTTTATTATTTGCACAAATTATTTTTTGTGAGTTCTGTAAATATAGGTGGTGATTTATGCAACAATATTTCTCTTATTCAAGTCTTATTCTATTATTCTACTACTTATATGTAAATAAATACACTCTTATACACACTTATACACTTCTATAAAGAACCATAATACTAAAAGAACCCTTTGCATGATTAAAGGGTTCTTTCCATCATGAAATGGTTCTTCAGATTGATGGAGAATGTGCTGTAGATGGTTCTTCATGGAACCTTTTTGAAAAGGGTTATATATATTCTTCTATTGTTACAAGCTTGACATATAACAATAGAAGAACACTTTTGGGTGCTCCATAGAACCCTTTTCAAAAAGGTTCTATATAGAAACATCTACAGCACATTCTCCATCAATCCGAAGAACGCTTTCATGATGCAAAGAACCATTTAATCATGCAAAGGGTTCTTTGAGTGTTCATGGTTCTATGTAGAACTATTTTAAGAACCCTTAAAGAACCATCTTTTTTAAGAGTGTAAATAAATAAATGAGAAAATAAATAAGTTATGTTTGAAATTGTTAGATTACATTTTACTCTGTTACACTTGAACAAACGTGCGCAATTCTGTCAACTAAAACGAATTTTAGAGTAAAAGACTAAAACTGATCAATATGATAAAGATAGACGACTTTTTAAAGGACATTTTGGTCAAAAGACTAAAACTATCACTAACTGATGTGTGGGTCAGTGTCTGTTATAGCGCCCCCTTGCTGCAGCACTCAATGCAGCTTGCACTTGTTATGAAGTGATGTTTTAGAACACGTAAACACAATGAATTGATTTTGCTCACAGTGTTGGTTTTTGTGCTCATGTTTCAGGCCTGAAGCTGAACTCCAGGAAGGCTCACCTGCTCGTCCTGAGGCTGAGCGCTGATGTTCTGCTTTGGTTTGTGTGTTCTCGCTCTGTGTTTGCAGTGCGGAGGCCGCGGGCCCGGTGTCTGTGCAGCTGAACAATGGAGAGAGATGATGTTAAACTAACAGTGCAGAGTAAAATCATGTTAAAGCAGCGACCCCACTTCCAAAAGCAGCGACCCCACTTCCAAAAGCAGCGACCCCACTTCCAAAAACCCGCATTTATTTTCACTTTATTCCTGCTCCTCCACAACAGGAGTTCCACCTAATCTGAGCAGTGCAGGGTGTCGTTTACATATTAAATACATGCAATGGTCTGTAGTGATGTATCTAGAAAAGTCACAATAATATTTTCAACAAACAACTTTGGATGGATGGATGGATGGATGGATGGATGGATAGATAGGCAGACAGACAGACAGACAGACAGATAGATAGATAGATAGATAGATAGATAGATAGATAGATAGATAGATAGATAGATAGATAGATAGACAGATAGATACAACTTTATTGATCCTGACGGGAAATTGCAGTGTTTCAGTAACAAGACATATAATTGCATGTTAACTTACACATACTATGCAGAAAATAAAATATAGATATAAAAATAGACATAAATTAAGTATAAGAGAAATAAAATAAAAGTATATCTGTATTATTTGCATATTTACATGGCATATAAGACAGATTTGTTGAATTTACATGACAGCAGGCACTAAGTGGTATAATGTAAACTAAAAGCACAGATTATAGACATAACTGACTCAGAGTTGCAGCAGTATTACAGTGTAAAGTGCGCAGTGAGAGTCATTACAGTAGCAGTTATGATGTATTGCACAGTGTGTATTAACAGGAGAGGAGATACAGTGATGTGGTTCAGCTCAGTTCAGACAGCAGGAGATCAGTACCGTCTCTGCAGTGAGGAGACTGGTTGTAGAGCCGTGTATCAGTGGTTAAGAAAGATCTCACATGGCGCTCTTTAACACAGCGTAGCTGTAGCAGTCTGACACTGAACATGTGTGAACTCTGTTTATCCAAAAAAATTCTGTTTATCTAAAAATTATGGTCAAAATGGCCATTATGTATGAAATCATTTTCCAGAAATATTTGTGAGAGGATTACATACAAGATAATTCACTTGCATAAGGAAGAAAAAAAAGAAAATAAATGAAAAAAAAACAGGAGTTACTAAAAGCTCCAGAGAAAATGTGTCTCCTAACAACCACCAACTAGCTGAGTTTGACTGGGTCGCAAGCTTAGAGACGTTTCACTGTGCTAGCTGGGTTTGACTGGGCCGGGCCGCAAGCTGAGAGATGTTTCACTGTGCTGACTGAGTTTGACTGAGCCGCAAGCTTAGAGATGTTTCACTGTGCTGACTGAGTTTGACTGAGCCGCAAGCTTAGAGATGTTTCACTGTGCTGACTGAGTTTGACTGGGCCGCAAGCTGAGAGATGTTTCACTGCACTAGCTATGTTTTACTGGGTTGCAAGCTGAGAAACTCTTCACTGTGGTAGCTAAGTTTTACTGGGTTACAAGCTGAGAAACTTTTCACCGCAATAGCAGAGTTTGACTGGTTCAAAGGCCGAAATGACTTTTCACCAAAGGAAACTTTTCACCATGGTAACGGAGTTTGAGGGTATTGATTTATTGCTTTGTTTAAAATGTAAAGTATTATTGGGTTTGAGAAAGGTGCCATATAAATTAAACTTATTACTAAAAAACAGGAGTTACTAAAAGCTCCAGAGAAAATGTGTCTCCTAACAACCACCTGGAAGACCTTTCTGTCCATCCTTCCACTGTGAGAAGACGACTCAGCGCTATTAATTTACTGCATGTTAACAACATTTTAGATGTATGAGATTTGCTTGTGACAGCAGTGTTATGGCATGAAAAGGATGTGCAGACATAGCTCAGTGAGAATGAATAAAATAAGAACAATGTTGAGAACGTGTGGACATACCAGCGCGTGGAGTGGACATCATGCGGGGCATCTGCAAAGCTGGCCTCATGCCTCTCTGAGGCCTGGGAGTTGATGGCCGCATGTTGGCCGGCATGTTTTGGAAGCCTGGAGAAAGAAATGCCACTGTTTATAATCTGAACAATGAACTAGGACTTTGCACCACCACAGCAGAGTCTGACTGGGCCCTGAGCCAGGAGACTTTTCACCACGGAAGTGGAGTCTGACTGGGCCCTGAGCTTGGAAACTTTTCACCATGGTAGCAAAGTTTGGGCCATGAACCAGGAGACTTTTAACTGCGGCTATGGAGTTTGACCAGGCCGCAAGAGAGTTTTCACTGCACTAGCTGAGTTTGACTGGGCCACAAGCTGAGAAATGTTTCGATGCACTAGCTGAGTTTGACTGGGTCGCAAGCTTAGAGACGTTTCACTGCGCTAGCTGAGTTTGACTGGGCCACAAGCTGAGAGACTTTTCACTGTACTAACTGAGTTTGACTGGGCTGCAAGCTAAGAGATGTTTCACTGTGCTGACTGAGTTTGACTGGGCCGCAAGCTGAGAGACGTTTTGATGCGCTAGCTGAGTTTGACTGGGTTGCAAGCTTAGAGGTGTTTCACCGCACTAGCTGAGATTGACTGGGCCACAAGCTGAGAGATGCTTTACTGCACTAGCTGAATTTGACTGGGCCTCAAGCTGAGAAACTTTTCAATGCGCTAGCTGGGTTTGACTGGGCTGCAAGCTTAGAGACGTTTCACTGCACTAGCTATGTTTTACTGGGTTGCAAGCTGAGAAACTTCTTACTGTGGTAGCTAAGTTTTACTGGGTTACAAGCTGAGAAACTTTTCACCGCAATAGCAGAGTTTGACTGGTTCAAAGGCCAAAATGACTTTTCACCAAAGGAAACTTTTCACCATGGTAACGGAGTTTGAGGGTATTGATTTATTGCTTTGTTTAAAATGTAAAGTATTATTGGGTTTGAGAAAGGTGCCATATAAATTAAACTTATTACTAAAAAACAGGAGTTCCAGAGAAAATGTGTCTCCTAACAACCACCTGGAAGACCTTTCTGTCCATCCTTCCACTGTGAGAAGACGACTCAGCACTATTAATTTACCGCATGTTAACAACATTTTAGATGTATGAGATTTGCTTGTGACAGCAGTGTTTTGGCCTGAAAAGGATGTGCAGACATAGCTCAGTGAGAATGAATAAAAGAAGAACAATATTGAGAACATGTGGACATACCAGCGCGTGGAGTGGACATCATGCGGGGCATCTGCGAAGCAGGCCTCATGCCTCTCTGAGGCCTGGGAGTTGATGGCCTCATGTTGGCCGGCATGTTTTGGAAGCCTGGAGAAAGAAATGCCACTGTTTATAATCTGAACAATGAACTAGGACTTTGCACCACCACAGCAGAGTCTGACTGGGCCCTGAGCCAGGAGACTTTTCACCACGGAAGTGGAGTCTGACTGGGCTGTGAGCTTGGAAACTTTTCCCATGGTAGCAAAGTTTGGGCCATGAACCAGGAGACTTTCAACTGCGGTTGTGGAGAGATGTTTCACTGCACTAGCTATGTTTTACTGGGTTGCAACCTGAGAAACTTCTTACTGTGGTAGCTAAGTTTGACGGGGCCACAAGAGACTTTCAACTGCGGCTGTGGAGTTTGGAGGCTGTGAGAGAGTTTTCACTGTGCTAGCTGAGTTTGACTGGGCCACAAGCTGAGAAATGTTTCGATGTGCTAGCTGAGTTTGACTGGGCTGCAAGCTGTGAGATGTTTTACTGTGCTAGCTGAGTTTGACTGGGCTGCAAGCTGAGAGACTTTTCACTGTGCAAGCTGAGTTTGACTGGGCCGCAAGCTGAGAGAGTTTTCACTGTGCTAGCTGAGTTTGACTGGGCCGCAAGCTGAGAGATGTTTCACTGTGCTAGCTGAGTTTGACTGGGCCGCAAGCTTAGAGACGTTTCACTGTGCTAGCTGAGTTTGACTGGGCTGCAAGCTTAGAGACTTTTCAATGCCCTAGCTGAGTTTGACTGGGCTGCAAGCTGAGAGACGTTTCACTGTGCTAGCTGAGTTTGACTGGGCCGCAAGCTTAGAGATGTTTCACTGTGCTGACTGAGTTTGACTGGGCCGCAAGCTGAGAGATGTTTCACTGCACTAGCTATGTTTTACTGGGTTGCAACCTGAGAAACTTCTTACTGTGGTAGCTAAGTTTGACGGGGCCACAAGAGACTTTCAACTGCGGCTGTGGAGTTTGGAGGCTGTGAGAGAGTTTTCACTGCGCTAGCTGAGTTTGACTGGGCCACAAGCTGAGAAATGTTTCGATGTGCTAGCTGAGTTTGACTGGGCTGCAAGCTGTGAGATGTTTTACTGTGCTAGCTGAGTTTGACTGGGCTGCAAGCTGAGAGACTTTTCACTGTGCAAGCTGAGTTTGACTGGGCCGCAAGCTGAGAGAGTTTTCACTGTGCTAGCTGAGTTTGACTGGGCCGCAAGCTTAGAGACGTTTCACTGTGCTAGCTGAGTTTGACTGGGCTGCAAGCTGAGAGACTTTTCAATGCCCTAGCTGAGTTTGACTGGGCTGCAAGCTTAGAGACGTTTCACTGTGCCAGCTGAGTTTGACTGGGCCGCAAGCTTAGAGATGTTTCACTGTGCTGACTGAGTTTGACTGGGCCGCAAGCTGAGAGATGTTTCACTGCACTAGCTAAGTTTTACTGGGTTGCAAGCTGAAAAACTTTTCACCGCAATAGCAGAGTTTGACTGGTTCAAAGGCCGAAATGACTTTTCACCAAAGGAGACTTTTCACCATGGTAACAGAGTTTGAGGGTGTTGATTTATTGCTTTGTTTAAAATGTAAAGTATTATTTGTCTTGAGAAATGTGCCATATAAATTAAACACACATCTTTTAAGCCACTTATCCTTCTGGGTTGTGGGGGGAGCTGGAGCCTAGCCCAGCAGTCATTGGGTGGAAGGCAGGATACACCCCCCCGCACACACTCATCTAGGGGCAATTTAGCATGTTCAATCTGGATGACTGCATGTCTTTGGACTGTGGGAGGAAACCCACACAGACATGGGGAGAACATACAAACTCCACACAGAAATGACCCTGGTCACCCGGCCGGGAATCGAACACAGGCCCTTCTTGCTGTGAGGCGACAGCGCTACCCACTGCGCCACCGTGCCGCCCTGATTAGTTCACAAATAATAAAAATAAAATAATAAAATCTAACCAAATTTTCCTTCACTTTCATTTTTTTTATTTTTGCTAATGTTTTCTTTAAAAGATCTTATAATCTTTTAATCTTATAATTAGTTTTGACACATCGTTACAAGTGGGTGGGTCTTAGAAGAAGGTGTTCATTCTCTATTGGTCAATTGACCTGGAGAATTCTGGAGTGACAAAAAAAAGAGTATTAGAGCACTTATGCTGAGGTCGGATACCCTGGGTTGTCAGGCGTGGGCTTGGTCGCAACTGGGCCTTCTGACTGGTGGGGTAATAAGGAGCTCTGTTCCACACCTTTAGGGGTAAAAACAATTCAACATTAATAACAAATATACATAGGCTGTACATCACTAACTTCCCTCAAAATCATTCATCATATAACCCACATATCCTCCTGGGTTGCGGAGGGTGCTGGAGCCTATTCCAGCGCTCATTGGGTGGACAACAGTAAACCTCGGTCCAACTCAGGGCAGACACACACACACACGCCTAGGGGCAAATTTAGTATTAAAAATTGGTCTGGCTGCATGTTTTTGGACTGTGGTAGGAAACCCATGTAGACATGGGGAGAACATGCAAACTCCACACAGAAAGGACCCTGGTCACCCTGCTGGGGAATCGAACTCAGGCCCTTCTTGCTGTGAGGCAACAGCACTACTTGTTTTACATTTTTCAAGAGATAATAGACATAGACAATTTATTATGGCTCTAATCAGATCCAGATTCCTCCAAGCAGAAGCTCCTTACGATTCACCAACTCCACCAGGTGTTACATTAGGAGTGTGGAAAGACCTAAAAACTGCTCAGTGTTTGGCTGGCTTTACACGGTGAAACTTACACGCAACTTTGCTGCTACATGAAACTAAATTTTACTCACGACGCATAATGAAAAGCATCCTGCAACTCGTTTGAAACTCAGCCACAACAAGTTCACGAAACAATTTATTTCCCCCAGTCGATGGACAAAAAATAAAACAGAGATGTGCACCGGTCAGGCATAACATGATGACCACCTCCTTGTTTCTACGCTCATTGTCCATTTTATCAGCTCCACTTACTATATAGGTGCACTTTGTAGTTCTACAGTTACAGACTGTAGTCCATCTGTTTCTCTGATACTTTGTTAGCCCCCTTTTACCCTGTTCTTCAGTGGTCAGGACCCCCATGGACCCTCACAGAGCAGGTCCTATTTAGGTGGTGGATCATTCTCAGCACTGCAGTAACACTGACGTGGTGGTGTGTTAGTGTGTGTTGTGCTGGTCTGAGTGGATCAGACACAGCAGTGCTGCTGGAGTTTTTAAACACCTCAGTGTCACTGCTGGACTGAGAATAGTCCACCAACCAAAAATATCCAGCTAACAGCGTCCTGTGGGCAGCATCCTGTGACCACTGATGAAGGATTAGAGGATGACCAGCACAAACTGTGCAGCAGCAGATGAGCTATCGTCTCTGACTTTACATCTACAAGGTGGACTGACAAGGTAGGAGTGTCTAATAAAGTGGGCAGTGAGTGGACACAGTGTTTAAAAACTCCAGCAGCACTGCTGTGTCTGATCCACTCATACCAGCACAACACACACTAACACACCACCACCACGTCAGTGTTACTGCAGTGCTGAGTATGATCCACCACCCAAATAATACCTGCTCTGTGAGGGTCCATGGGGGTCCTGACCACTGAAGAACAGGGTAAAAGGGGGCTAACAAAGTATCAGAGAAACAGATGGACTACAGTCTGTAACTGTAGAACTACAAAGTGCACCTATATAGTAAGTGGAGCTGATAAAATGGACAATGAGCGTAGAAACAAGGAGGTGGTCATCATGTTATGCCTGATGGGTATATATGTGTATCAGATGGCTGACAAGGTGATCCTCCTGACTGACTTCATGTAAGGTTGGTAGTTTTTCGTTTTGTCAGTTTCCTGAGCCGTGATGACGAACACACGTGAGCTTCTCAAAGCTAAGGTTTCTGTAACCAGCAAGCGAGCTGGCAGCTCCTGCCAGCGTTTATTCTTCTCCGTTAGCCTGCTGTTAAAAAGAACGGCAATGACAGCTGGAAAAACAAAAATATTGCAAAAATAAAGATTTATATAACACCTCACAGATGACTTTATATAAAGAGATACAATTTATCAAAATGACAAATTTAGCTAACTAGTGGTGTAACTGAAAGTGCTGTGTGCAACTTTGCTTTTGACTTGCTTTGTGTAACTGTTAAGTTGCACAGAAAAATTTTAAATGCAACCTACAACATGCAACTAGTTGCATGTCAGTTTCACCATGTAAAGCCAGCCTACAAGACTGTTATCAACAAAGAGTACAGCACTTCACCAATGGAATACTCTGGAACAAACCTCTGTACGCTTGTGTGTTCTGAAACATATCTTGGTTAAACTAGAAATGTAAACATGATTCGCATATTTTGGAATAGAGGTCTAATAATATGAAAACCATAATGCTGACCTGAGGAATGGGAGCCGTGAAGTATTCGGACAGTGGGGCGGGCTGGAATGGGTTGTGGACAGGGCTGGGCATGGCGCAGGTGCTGGCCACCTTCTGCCTACGCTGATTGATCAGGAATTCCTGGCGCTCCTCTTTACGCTGAGCCAGACTCACATACAGCGGCTTGTTGTCCACAATTCGCCCGTTCATCTCCATCATGGCTTGGTGGGCAGCCTCAGGTGAGGCGAAGCAGACGAAACCAAAGCACTTACTGCGGTCTCCGTCCATCATAACCTGAAGAGGAGAAAGTAGGGATGTTGATTGGGATCTGAGTGGATCAATAATATTCCACAGTTAGTTTTGACTTTAATGTAATCTCCCAATATTGTTTTACTCCACCTTATTCACCTGTAACCAGCATTGGCCACTAGCCTTTGCAAAAAAGTAGACTGTTTAATGAAAAAATTTCCTTGGCAAAATGTTTCTAGTTAATTTTTGAGTGATCATTGTCTTAAAATAATAATACATTTAAGTATCAAAACTGTGACATTGCAATAAACCTTATGTTTGTAGTATGTCACAGTCAATATCTAGTTATAGCACCACCTCCAGGGTCATATTGAACTTAATCAAATCATTTCTGGAGGCTATTGTACCCTATAGTTAGTACTCTGATGACATCACGATCGTGCTGCCACCATTTTGGTAGGTCATTCAGCGGTGCTGTGGTTGTTTGTAATGAGATAACAAAGCCAAAACTGATCCAGCAAAGGTAGTAAAACACCTTTTTTTAATCACTTTCTAAAATCTTAATTATAAAGAGTATTAACTAATATATTTGAGTGCATTGCTTTGATTTTATTTGATTTGCTGCTGTAGGGATAACAAATGAAAGCTAAAATCTAAATGGCTGAGATTTCCCACTGCGGTATTATTTTAGCATCCAAAACTGCGTACTAGCACAGTAAATAGTATGCCAACAATAGTGCATATACCATTAGAAGTGCACTTATTAGTGTAGTAGTATCCATGTATCCATGGTAGTGGAGTTTGACTAGGCTGCGAGCTGGGACACTTTTTACCATGGCAGTGGAGTTTGGCTTGGCCATGAGCTGGGACACTTTTCACCATGGCAGTGGAGTTTGGCTTGGCCATGAGCTGGTACACTTTTCACCATGGTAGCAGTTTGACTAGGCTGCGAGCTGGGACACTTTTCACCATGGTAGCAGTTTGACTAGGCTGTGAGCTGGTACACTTTTTACCATGGTAGTGGAGTTTGACTAGGCTGTGAGCTGGGACACTTTTCACCATGGTAGTGGAGTTTGACCAGGCCACAAGCTGGTACACTTTTTACCATGGTAGCAGAGTTTGACTAGGCCATGAGCTGGTACACTTTTTACCATGGTAGTGGAGTTTGACTTGGCCATGAGCTGGGACACTTTTCACCATGGTAGCAGAGTTTGACTGGGCCATGAGCTGGGACACTTTTCACCATGGTAGCAGAGTTTGACTGGGCCACGAGCTGGGACATTTTTCATCCCGGTAGCGGAGTTTAACTAGGCCATGAGCTGGGACACTTTTCATCCTGGTAGCGGAGTTTAACTAGGCCATGAGCTGGGACACTTTTCATCCTGGTAGTGGAGTTTAACTAGGCCATGAGCTGGGACACTTTTTTTTTATCCCAGTACTGGCGTTTAACTAGGCCATGAGCTGGGACACTTTTCATCCCGGTAGCAGAGTTTGACTGGGCCTTGAGCTGGGACACTTTTCACCACGGTAGCAGAGTTTGACTGGGCCTCGAGCTGAGACACCTTTCACCACGGTAGCAGAGTTTCACTGGGCCCCAAGCTGGGACACTTTTTACCACGGTAGCTGAGTTTGACTGGACCTCGAGCTGGGACACCTTTCACCACAGCAGCGGGGTTTGACTGAGCCTCGAGCTGGGAGACTTTTCATCCCGGTAGCAGAGTTTGAATGGGCCTTGAGCTGGGACACTTTTCATCCCGGTAGCAGAGTTTGACTGGGCCTCGAGCTGGGACACTTTTAACCACGGTAGCAGAGTTTGACTAGGCTGTTAGCTGGGACACTTTTCACCACGGTAGCAGAGTTTGACTAGGCTGCAAGCCAGGACACTTTTCACCATGGTAGTGGAGTTTGACCAGGCCACAAGCTGGTACACTTTTCACCATGGTAGCACAGTTTGACTAGGCCATGAGCTGGGACACTTTTCACCACGGTAGCAGAGTTTGACCAGGCCACGAGCTGGGACACTTTTCATCCCGGTAGCAGAGTTTGACTAGGCCATGAGCTGGGACACTTTTCATCCCGGTACTGGCGTTTAACTAGGCCATGAGCTGGGACACTTTTCATTCCGGTAGCAGAGTTTGATTGGGCCTCGAGCTGGGACACCTTTCACCACAGCAGTGGAGTCTGACTGGGCCTCGAACTGGGACACTTTTCACCACAGCAGTGGAGTTTGACTGGGCCTTGAGCTGGGACACTTTTCACCACAGCAGCGGAGTCTGACTGGGCCTCGAACTGGGACACTTTTCATCCCGGTAGCAGAGTTTGACTGGGCCTCGAGCTGGGACACTTTTCACCACTGTAGTGGAGTTTGACTGGGCCTCGAGCTTGGACACTTTTCACCACGGCAGCGGGGTTTGACTGGGCCTCGAGCTGGGACACTTTTCATCCCGGTAGCAGAGTTTGACTGGGCCTCGAGCTGGGACACTTTTCATCCCGGTAGCAGAGTTTGACTGGGCCTCGAGCTGGGACACTTTTCATCCCGGTAGCAGAGTTTGACTGGGCCTCGAGCTGGGACACTTTTCACCACTGTAGTGGAGTTTGACTGGGCCTCGAGCTTGGACCTTTACACTGTGACAACAGTGTATGATTAGAGCATGAGCCTGGTACTTTCCACTGCGACAAAATCATTGGCAGCAGATCTCCAAGCTGATTTCATATTTGTAATCATCAGTGTCTTCCAAGTACATTTCCACATATGTTTAGTAGGCTGTGATTTTAGTAAGGGTTCTAAGTGCAGTGCCCAGTCCTTGCTTGGGCCGTTCATTCAAATGTAAGTAAGTACTGTTAGATTTCTCTTATTGAATTGGTAGCATCTTGGGGCTTGTCAACTCTGTTCACACTGATGGTCAAGTGTGGGCAATCGCAGGTGACCCCGTGTGAGGAGCATTTTCCTGCCTCATATGACGTGTAACTCTAGAGATGTGGTGGTTGTAGCAACAGCTGCACCTTCCAATGGCTGTCACTCATTCTGCTCAGCTGAACTTCATTTCAAAGCTGCCTAAACTGGTGTTGCAACATCTGTGCCCTTTCAGACACATAGCTCCCCTCTGGCTTGTTGAGCTGAAAGAGTTCTAAGGGAAGCTACAGTGTTGAGCAACACTCTTTGCTTGTGCTCTCCTGACACTAGGGAGGGTTGGGCCGGACTTTCAGAATTCCTTGCCCCAACACATTCGTGACTGCTCATCCATTTCCTCTTTAACCTGAACTGAAAACCTCTCTTCACTCAGTACTACTCTTCTACCTCAACTTCAAAGTCTTGTTGTATATTGAACTCTCATTTCTGTCTTGTCTATTTTATTCTATTGGTTTGTATTGGTCCTTACTGTCCTTATTTTGCTTTTCCCTTATGATCTCCGGTGAAAATGTTTGTTATTCTTTTTTATTACTCTACATGTCTTTTGTGTTATTTGCTTTTCTTCACATTCTCCCTCTTGTTTTGTTTTCTTTATGATATTCTTGTGTTTCATAGTTGACTGTTTGCTCACCTTTTTCGGATGCTCTGTAAAGCGACCTTGAGCTTTGGCAAGAGCCTTTTCACATCTTTTCACTGCACAAAATTATGGAGAGTAGTATCAATAAGTTTATGGATAAGTATCGGTATTGATAAACAATATCAGTATCAGTATCAATAAAATCCCAACGATACCCATCCCACTTATCTCTCCTCTAATACTTGGTTAAGCATCCAATTCAGTTAATGAAAGCGCCAATCCTGTAAGATAAGGATTTAACGAGTCTCTTTTCCAGTTCATTTTTTTTTAATCTACTCTTCCACAAACCTGCTTCATTCCCAAGCAGATCACAACACTGACACTCCCACATTCCAGGACGATGACTGTAGGGTGCGTGTATTAGGGATGTGCATGGGTTAACCGTCTAAGGTGCCAGTGTTTTGATCCTGAAATCAACATTCAGGGATTCGTTACACTTCATCCCGAGAAACCGGAGAGAATATTCAGACTAATAACTCAGTGAAAAGCTGATTTTATGTTTTAACAGAACTTTAAAACCTTTTTTTTGCTCATATTTGCCGGTATGTTATGTTTAGCCAGTTAGATAACTCTGGTTAAAGCATCTTTTCTCATTTGAGATTAATGTTTTTGTACATGGTCCCCGATAAAATAAACACAATAAACAAATGTTATGCTTTGCTACTCTGTAATATCTGTGATCTTTCATAACAGGCCAAGGACGCGTTGTTAAGCATGTGACTGAGACGGCAGAGATAGAGCATCTTTTATCACTAAATAGGCTGATATTCAGTAGAGAAAGTTAGAATACGTTTCTGTGAAAGACTGACGTTTGCACATCGTCCTCTGAAGAGGAAAAACTCGACTTTTAGAATCCTAAACCGACAGGACCGATGCTATTAACGTTATCAAGGCAACCAGACACGTAACCAACTATTAGAGGAGAAATGAGGAAGAAATCTGGCGAGCATGTCGACAGTGTGCCGCTTTACTGGTTCTACTGGAATGAAGGGGTGATGATATAACATATGTGTGTTTATAGAGAGAACCAGTTCTGCGAGGGTCTCGTCAAACTGCTGGTCTGTCACAGCAGTTCACTGAGATAAAGCACACTGGCAGTACAGGACAGCTTGGCCAGGCTTGGTGGTCGTTATAGTGGCCTTTATGGCAGCGCTCATAATGCAGCTTGCTCTTGGGTTTCATTATGAATTGTGCCTTGGCCTGTTTAAGGCCTCAGCGGCAAAAAGGGTTTTTATATTGTTTTGATGTGATTTATTATTATTTCAACCTCAGATTCTTGGTCTTTGCTCATTTTCTGTGAAGAACATATAAAATAACCCATTTTCAGTGTCTTCACTCTGTTCACCCCCCACACATTTATATTACACGTGTTGGGTGAACCTGCGGGGAGTAAAAGTGTGGAGGTGCTGTGTCCTTCACTCTGTTCTCCTCCTACATGGCCTGCTGTTAGTGTGTGTGTGTGTGTGTGTGTGTGTGGGTGGACAAAATGGACAGGCTGCTGACTGGCTACAGCTGCTACAGGAGAACCCTACGCTGGACACTTGTGATATTTTTAAACATCTGGTATTTTTACATAAATTGTTATGACTATTGATTTAAACATACAACAGACCGCTGAGTAACAAACACACCAACACCACACAAGGGATAAAGAATAGTCCAAAAAAAGCAAAATATATCAGTTCAGGGTGTCGGATTACCCCCGTAGTCAAACAGCAATTTAAAGAAACTGGTATCCTGGCATATTCAACCTGATGTGGATCAGTTTTACTGACTGAAACGTAGCTGCACTGTGTGGCTGTGTTTTCTACAAAAATACGAATACTGAAGCGATTCTTGGTATCTGAGGCCTGACATAGGCTCAAATCCCTGCCGCCACAAACACACACTTACCTTGGCACTGGTGATGGTTCCAAAAGGAGAGAACTCTTTGTGCAGGCGTTCGTCATCAATTCCAGGGTCCAGGTTCTTCACATAGAGATTAACACCCTAAAGAAAAAAGCATATTTTTTATTTTAAAAACTTCATCATTACAAAATGTAGTATAATATCGTTGCTGTTGGGACAAAACCTTGTATCTCCATGTTTGTTGTTTTTCATTTTTTGGCATCATTTCAAAAAGGTAGTTGCCCTTTACCTTGTGCTAAAATTTCACGATGAATGGACCAACAGAAATTGTCTAAAACTACTTTAAAAAAATATATTTCTCCATTTACTTCCATTAGAAGTTGAGAACATTTTTCCTTGTCCTGTTAACTTTTGGAGATATGAGGTTTTGTTCCCACCGCAGCGATTTATACATGCCAAGGCCATACAAATTCTGGGGCACAGGCCTTTTAAAAGCTGGCCTATTTAAACTCTGCAACATGGTAAATGAGGGTCACCCTCAATGTTCTCCGAGATTAAATGAAGGTTGATTGATTAAAAGAAGGATTGAGTACCCGCTGAGGTGGTAACACTGAACCCGACAAGGCTGCAAGAGGACAAGTGTAACGACTTCAACCAGGACCTGGTAACGAGTCATGCAATCTACAGTTATCTGTATCTTTTCAGCGTTATATTACTCTTTCTCCATTTCCTTTACTCTGTCTTCTCTAAAGCTGTACTGTCTCGGAGTGTTTATCCAAAAATCTATACACTGGTGAGAAAAAAGCATGTTTGTCCTTAATCTAATCAACTCTCTCTGAGACTAAATGCATGCACTGTTTTTTCAAAGACTGCTTAATAACATAGAGGTTTTATTTTACTTATATTGGCTGCTTTACTTATTCACTGATCTTTTTGCTTAGGGTGCTGGAAAAGACACAAGTGCGACTGTGTGTCGGTTTTCCTTTTGGAAAAAGGTTCTATATAGCACCAAAAAGAGTTCTATTGTCACGATATCAAGCTTGGTACAGTAGAAGAACCCTTTTCAAAATGGTTCTATATAGAATCATGAACATTCAAAGACCCTTTTGCATGATTAAAGCGTACTTTACGTCACGAAAGCGTTCTTCAGATTGATGGAGAATGTGCTGTAGATGGTTATATCTAGCACCAAAAAGAGTTCTATTGTTACGACATCAAGCTTGTTACAACAGAAGAACCCTTTTCAAAAAGGTTCTATATAGAACCATCCATCATCTAAACCGCTTATCCTTCTGGGTCGCGGTGGGGTGCTGGAGCCTATCCCAGCTGCCATTGGGCGGAAGGCAGGATACACCCTGGACAGGTCGCCAGTCCATCACAGGGCAGACATATATAGAACCATCTACAGCATATTCTTCATGAGTTATTCATAATGCAAAACCCCTTTAATCAAGCAAAGGATTCTTTGAATGTTCATGGTTCTATTCAGAACCATTTTCCTTACTAAAGAACCCTTGTAGAACCATATTTCTTAAGAGTGTATTGGAAACTATTAAACCAATTCCAATTAGAAAGCAAAGCCATTATGCTCTAATCCTGATGGTTTCTAATAGTCCTTTTTCAGCAGGGATGTTCCTGTAAAGCTCAAACCTCACAAACAGATGCTGACTTATTATGGGATGCTCAGTGGCAGACGCACCTGCGAAAAGCCGCAGAGAAACTCCAGAAGTTTGTTTTTGAGCTGTTCGGCTTGAAGTCGGCCGAAGCCTTTAACGTTCACGCTGTCCTGCGCTACAGTGACATCAAAATTAGGATACGTCGGTTTGAGATCATCCAGCAGGTTACTTAAGCCGATCAGCTGGAGTTTGGTGGGGTCAGACACAGGTATCTGGAACTCCACTGGTTCTGTGTCAGACTGAACCATCACTGTTGCATCTTTTTCAGCATCTTCCAATGGAAAAGCTGTTGGAGTTGGAGTAGCAGGACTGGGAGGCTGTTTGGATTTTGGGCTGGAATCTGCATGATGGTGAGCTGTTCTGGGGGGCTGTGATGAGCTGCAGATCAGGAGGTCAGAGAGAGACTCGTTTAAAGACGTGAGAGAGTTAGCGCCAGTCTGGTTCTGGTCATCCGAGAGCTGATTTATCCCATGTGGCGATTTCACAAATGCTTTGTTTCCATCTGCTTCCAAAAAAGGAAAGCATGGTTTTACTAAGAAGTTTGTTTCCCCCAGTTTGTGGGACTTCTGGAGCACACGGTCCACACCTGTTAGACAAATAAACAAAGTAAGAACACTTGAATGGATGTGGTAGAACTGTATTCGTGCGGTAGAACTCAGGTATGGATGTCTGTTACTGTATTAGTGTGTAGAACTCAGGTATGGATGTCTGTGTTACTGTATTAGTGTGTAGAACTCAGGTATGGATGTCTGTGTTACTGTATTAGTGTGTAGAACTCAGGTATGGGTGTCTGTGTTACTGTATTAGTGTGTAGAACTCAGGTATGGATGTCTGTTACTGTATTAGTGTGTAGAACTCAGGTATGGATGTCTGTTACTGTATTAGTGTGTAGAACTCAGGTATGGATGTCTGTCACTGTATTAGTGCAGTAGAACTCAGGTATGGATGTCTGTGTTACTGTATTAGTGCGGTAGAACTCAGGTATGGATGTCTGTTACTGTATTAGTGCAGTAGAACTCAGGTATGGATGTCTGTTACTGTATTAGTGCAGTAGAACTCAGGTATGGATGTCTGTTACTGTATTAGTGTGTAGAACTCAGGTATGGATGTCTGTTACTGTATTAGTGTGTAGAACTCAGGTATGGATGTCTCTGTTACTGTATTAGTGTGTAGAACTCAGGTATGGATGTCTGTTACTGTATTAGTGTGTAGAACTCAGGTATGGATGTCTCTGTTACTGTATTAGTGTGTAGAACTCAGGTATGGATGTCTGTTACTGTATTAGTGCGGTAGAACTCAGGTATGGATGTCTGTGTTACTGTATTAGTGCGGTAGAACTCAGGTATGGATGTCTGTTACTGTATTAGTGCAGTAGAACTCAGGTATGGATGTCTGTTACTGTATTAGTGCAGTAGAACTCAGGTATGGATGTCTGTTACTGTATTAGTGTGTAGAACTCAGGTATGGATGTCTGTTACTGTATTAGTGTGTAGAACTCAGGTATGGATGTCTCTGTTACTGTATTAGTGTGTAGAACTCAGGTATGGATGTCTGTTACTGTATTAGTGCGGTAGAACTCAGGTATGGATGTCTCTGTTACTGTATTAGTGTGTAGAACTCAGGTATGGATGTCTGTTACTGTATTAGTGTGTAGAACTCAGGTATGGATGTCTGTGTTACTGTATTAGTGCGGTAGAACTCAGGTATGGATGTCTGTTACTGTATTAGTGTGTAGAACTCAGGTATGGATGTCTGTGTTACTGTATTAGTGTGTAGAACTCAGGTATGGATGTCTGTGTTACTGTATTAGTGTGTAGAACTCAGGTATGGATGTCTGTGTTACTGTATTAGTGTGTAGAACTCAGGTATGGATGTCTGTTACTGTATTAGTGCGGTAGAACTCAGGTATGGATGTCTGTTACTGTATTAGTGTGTAGAACTCAGGTATGGATGTCTGTGTTACTGTATTAGTGTGTAGAACTCAGGTATGGATGTCTGTGTTACTGTATTAGTGTGTAGAACTCAGGTATGGATGTCTGTGTTACTGTATTAGTGTGGTAGAACTCAGGTATGGATGTCTGTTACTGTATTAGTGCGGTAGAACTCAGGTATGGGTGTCTGTTACTGTATTAGTGCGGTAGAACTCAGGTATGGATGTCTGTGTTACTGTATTAGTGTGGTAGAACTCAGGTATGGATGTCTGTGTTACTGTATTAGTGTGTAGAACTCAGGTATGGGTGTCTGTGTTACTGTATTAGTGCGGTAGAACTCAGGTATGGATGTCTGTGTTACTGTATTAGTGTGGTAGAACTCAGGTATGGATGTCTCTGTTACTGTATTAGTGTGTAGAACTCAGGTATGGATGTCTGTGTTACTGTATTAGTGCGGTAGAACTCAGGTATGGATGTCTGTGTTACTGTATTAGTGTGGTAGAACTCAGGTATGGATGTCTCTGTTACTGTATTAGTGTGTAGAACTCAGGTATGGATGTCTGTTACTGTATTAGTGTGGTAGAACTCAGGTATGGATGTCTGTGTTACTGTATTAGTGTGGTAGAACTCAGGTATGGATGTCTGTTACTGTATTAGTGTGTAGAACTCAGGTATGGATGTCTGTGTTACTGTATTAGTGCGGTAGAACTCAGGTATGGGTGTCTGTTACTGTATTAGTGTGTAGAACTCAGGTATGGATGTCTGTTACTGTATTAGTGTGTAGAACTCAGGTATGGATGTCTGTGTTACTGTATTAGTGCGGTAGAACTCAGGTATGGGTGTCTGTTACTGTATTAGTGTGTAGAACTCAGGTATGGATGTCTGTTACTGTATTAGTGTGGTAGAACTCAGGTATGGATGTCTCTGTTACTGTATTAGTGTGGTAGAACTCAGGTATGGATGTCTGTGTTACTGTATTAGTGTGGTAGAACTCAGGTATGGATGTCTCTGTTACTGTATTAGTGTGTAGAACTCAGGTATGGATGTCTCTGTTACTGTATTAGTGTGTAGAACTCAGGTATGGATGTCTCTGTTACTGTATTAGTGCAGTAGAACTCAGGTATGGATGTCTGTTACTGTATTAGTGTGGTAGAACTCAGGTATGGATGTCTGTTACTGTATTAGTGTGTAGAACTCAGGTATGGATGTCTGTGTTACTGTATTAGTGTGTAGAACTCAGGTATGGATGTCTGTGTTACTGTATTAGTGTGGTAGAACTCAGGTATGGATGTCTGTTACTGTATTAGTGCGGTAGAACTCAGGTATGGATGTCTGTTACTGTATTAGTGTGGTAGAACTCAGGTATGGATGTCTGTTACTGTATTAGTGTGGTAGAACTCAGGTATGGATGTCTGTTACTGTATTAGTGCGGTAGAACTCAGGTATGGATGTCTGTTACTGTATTAGTGTGTAGAACTCAGGTATGGATGTCTGTTACTGTATTAGTGTGGTAGAACTCAGGTATGGATGTCTCTGTTACTGTATTAGTGTGTAGAACTCAGGTATGGATGTCTGTGTTACTGTATTAGTGCGGTAGAACTCAGGTATGGGTGTCTGTTACTGTATTAGTGTGGTAGATTTATTAGTGTGGTAGTTTATTTATTTATACCACACTCTGGCTTTAAAAGTTAAATTATCTGCCCAGTGGCTTTACATATCAAAGTGTACAGAGCTGATATGATTTACTTACATTCTACATCTTTGAAAGTGATCTTGGTGGATCCTCCAGCCGTCCTGCTGATGTCCATCACCTTTCCCTCTCCACCACGACCGCTCTCAAAATACAGTGTCAGCATGTCCTCCCCAACACTGGGGGGCAGATTCTCCACCAAAACAGAGTCTGTGCGTTCCACCTGCTCCAGAGTGATTGTCGCTCCATCCCATTTCTTTTTGGAAGCTTTGCTACAAATCTTCTGAAAATCTGCCAAAGAACATTATCATATTAGAATAGCTTCTGTTTTTTGTACACTGACATTCAGTTTTACGTTGTATATATATATATGTGTATACAATACACACACGCTTATACACACACACACATATAATATATATATACATATATATACATCACTGCTGCTATCATTTGGCAGATGTTCTTATCCAAAGCGACCTACAGTTTGATCATTTTACACAGGTAGGCCAAGGTAGTGTCGGTTGGTATAGTGTAGTGGGTAACACCTATGTGTTCTACACTGTAGACTGGGTTTCAAACCCCTGCCTGGGTAAACACCCTGCACTATACCAATAAGAGTCCTTGGGCAAGACTCCTAACACTACCTTCACCTACCTGTGTAAAATGATCACATTGTAAGTCGCTCTGGATAAGAGCATCTGATAAATGGTGTAAATGTAAAGGAGTCTTGGCCAGTGACTCTTGCTGGTGTAGGGTGCTTGCCACTATACACACACACACACATTTTCTAAACCGCTTATCCTTCTGGGTCGTGGGGGGAGCTGGAGCCTATCCCAGTGGTCATTGGGCAGAAGGCAGGAAACACCCTGGACAGCCCATTGCAGAGCAGACAGACAGACACATATATACATGTATCCACACACACAGAAAGGACCCTGGCTGCCCAGCTGGGGAATCGAACCCAGGCCCTTCTCGCTGTGAGGCGACAGTGCTACCCACATATATATAGCACCTCTCAAAATCTTGTGAATGAAAGAGTATTAGTGTGTTTTCACACCTGGACTCAGACCAGTGAGTCAGGGTTTTCTAAATGCTGATGTGATGTGAACTCAGACCCTCTAAACCCCACGTCCCTATTCCTAATGGTTTATAATATTAGACTGTTTCGCTGCACTCCAGTCCCCAGCATGCACTGCAACATTATATGTGCTCTGACTCTCCTACGCCAACACCAATCTATGGGACGGAGGTTACACCTCAATTCTACTCAAATCTATGCAATTCCACACCAGTCGTATCACCAAACGCACCAGCTGTATTTCAGCTGCAGTTCAACCAAAATAAACACCTAAATTCAGTGCAGCAGCTCAGAAACTGAGCCCAAGTCTTAATGAACTCGCAGTAAAGAAAGGCTGTCAGGGGTCTTCAAACAGATAGGTAGGTTTAAAAGACTGAGCACTGGGGTATTTAAATTTTGAATATTAATATTTTGTAATATTTCAAGGTCTACTTCTACAAGTGCCTGTATTTTACTGCTGAGGTTTTTGCATATTTTGAATAAACAATGGCCAGTTGTTCCTGTTGCAGCACAACACTAATTAAAAATGATACTTTTTTTCTCTGGCCCACAGATGTGTTGAATTTTTTAATATGGCCCTTTAGTGTATGAAGGGAATGGTTCTATTTAGAACCATGAGTTCTACAAAGAACCATTTCATGCTTAAACTACTTCTTGGGATAACATAGCATAAGCTTGTACCAATAATAGCTTCAAAAAGGTTCTATACAGAACCATACACAAGACATTATCCATCAGTATAAAGAACCATTACACCATTTTTTTTCTTTAATTATGCAAAGGGTTCTTTGAGTGTTCATGGTTCTACATAGAACCATTTTTTTTTCTAAAGAGCCCTTGAAGAACCATCTTTTTAAGTGTGTAGATATGAAAACACTCCCAGTGCCTCACCCTGAGAAAGAGGTGTGTGGAGGTTTATCAGGACCAGGTCTTTTCCAGCTGAGGGGTACAGAGTGTAATCATCAGAGTTGATTCCCATCAGGTTCTCCACGTACAGCTCCACCAACTCCAGGCTGGTGCTGGAGGAGAGCCCCCGCAGCAGAAACTTCCCACGATCCTTTGGGGGTTTCCTCCGCACTATCAGTTCGGCATCACTGAGCTTGTGGGAGCCTTTAGATACGACTCTCGCAGCCACTAGTGATGAAAAACAAAAGCTTTTACTGCCGTAATCATTACAGACAGATACAGCGCTGTGCAAAAGTCAGAGACCACAAATCATTCATTTAATTTCCAGTCAAAACAGCCACTGAGTACAAGTCATTCACTTCTGAGGAGATTAGATATAAGATGATCCACTAGCATAAGGAAAGAGAAAGTCAAAGGAAAATAAAAAGTGATTAGAAACTACAGAGGAAATGACGCCCCTAACAACCACCTGGAAGACCTAGTAGACACCAAAACTACCCCATCAGATAAACAGCACTTAAAGCTTTCATCTTTGAGAGAGAGGAGAAAATCAAGCTGCTTCAGATCTGAAAACATCCACAGGTGTGTGCTGGATGGATGTATAGGTAGATAGATAGATAGACAGACAGACAGACAGACAGACAGATAGATAGATAGACAGACAGATCTACAGACCGACAGACAGAGGGACAGATAGATAGATAGATAGATAGATAGATAGATAGATAGATAGATAGATAGATAGACAGAGGGACAGATAGACAGATAGATAAATAGATAGATAGATAGACAGATAGATAGATAGATAGACAGAGGGACAGATAGATAGATAGACAGACAGATCTACAGACCGACAGACAGAGGGACAGATAGACAGATAGATAAATAGATAGATAGATAGACAGATAGATAGATAGATAGACAGAGGGACAGATAGATAGATAGACAGATGGACAGATAGATAGATAGATAGATAGATAGACAGACAGACAGAGGGACAGATAGATAGATAGATAGATAGATAGACAGACAGACAGAGGGACAGATAGATAGATAGATAGATAGATAGATAGATAGATAGATAGATAGATAGATAGACAGACAGACAGAGGGACAGATAGATAGATAGATAGATAGATAGATAGACAGATAGATAGATAGACAGAGGGACAGATAGATAGATAGATAGATAGATAGATAGATAGATAGATAGATAGATAGACAGAGGGACAGATAGATAGATAGATAGATAGATAGATAGATAGATAGATAGATAGACAGACAGAGGGACAGATAGATAGATAGATAGATAGATAGATAGATAGATAGATAGAGTCTCATATTCTGTATGAAATCAGATGTATGGTGGGTTATAGGTTTAATTTATATAGTGCTATTTTAGAACTGTTCCCCTCACTAAAGATGAAAGTACAGACTCAGACCTGCCCAAACAGAATGTGAACTGAATATAAATGTTGATTTATTGCTACATCATTAATGTGTAATTACATAATTACATTTGAATAGCTGAGCAAAATTCTCAGACACCCCTTATTTTTCCTAAATCAAATCATGAAATTGAGATGCTGTTTCAGATCAAACTCTAAATTTCATCACAGAGCTGATTTTCTCACCCTCAGGCTGTTCGAACACTAGCAGAGCTCTGTCTCCACTCCGCTCCACAGAAATGACGGTTCCTCCTTCAGAGCGTTTGCTCTCGAAGTAAAGCAGCAGCAGATCGTCGTCCACATGATCAGGGATCTCCAAAACCTCCACACTCCTCTCCTCCAGGTTATCATCAGCCATCCTGACCGTCAGGACACACTGCATTTAGTGAGGCTTTTCCACAGTTCACCTGTAAACGCTCTCACTCTGTAGAAATGCTTCCTTAACCTGGCAAACAGTTTCACTGAATACCCAAAACCTGCTTCCCAACGATGAAATGACACTTTAAATTAAGACACCAGTGAGATTTATTACTGATTCCTTTCATATGTGAATCCTAAAATGTTACAGAGGCTGTGGAGGCTGCTATTAAAGCACAATCTCCAGGAATAAACACAAACACATTCTGTCAGTAATGGTATTAATATGTGATTAATGGAATAACGATTGCTCAGATTTGATTCTCAGTTCTGAAGAACAGAAACTGAAACCACCCACTTGTCTGTTCACAAGTCTTGAACTGGCTTCTTACTGGAATTTTCAGTTCCACCTTAAATAGTGCAGCATGTTGGAAATTTCTATTCCACCTTAAATGGTGCAGCATTTTTTCCCTCTCCACCTTAAATGGTGGCTTGAACCTGTTTTTTATTAGAATTTTCCATTCCACCTTAAATGGTGTTGCATTTTTTCCCTCTCCACCTTAAATGGTGCAGCATTTTTTCCCTCTCCACCTTAAATGTGGCTTGAACTGTTTTTTTTTTATTAGAATTTTCCATTCCACCTTAAATGGTGTTGCATTTTTTTCCTCTCTGCCTTAAATGGTGGCTTGAACTGGCTTCTTACTGGAATTTTCAGTTCCACCTTAAATAGTGCAGCATTTTGGAAATTTCTATTCCACCTTAAATGGTGCAGGATTTTTTCCCTCTCCACCTTAAATGGTGGCTTGAACCTGTTTTTTATTAGAATTTTCCATTCCACCTTAAATGGTGTTGCATTTTTTCCCTCTCCACCTTAAATGGTGCAGCATTTTTTCCCTCTCCACCTTAAATGGTGGCTTGAACTGTTTTTTTATTAGAATTTTCCATTCCACCTTAAATGGTGTACCATTTTTTCCTCTCCATCTTAAATGGTGGCTTGAACCGGCTTCTTATTGGAATCTTCTGTTCCACCTTAAATGGCGCAGTATTTACATTCTGGCGCCATGGTAACTGCTGCAACATTTAAGGCGGAATGGAAAATTCCAATACAAAGCCAGTTCAAGCCACCATTTAAGGTGGACCATGAAAAAAGCTGCTCCATTTAAGGTGGAACAGAAAATTCCAATAAGAAGCCAACCTCAGTTTCTGATTCTTTGGCAGAACCAGTGTTTGTGGAGCTTCTCAGACTTGTTACTGGCTCTATCAGGAAAAACTAAAGTGAACTAAGGAATGAAAGCGTCAGTAAACGAGGGCTATCAGGAAATTTCAATGAAGTCATCTCATGTGTAACCATTAGATTAGCATAACTGAATGTGGTGTCCATCAGAAGTGGACAGAAGGCAGCACGGTCTGTACACACTGTAAATATCCGCAAAGTTTCAGTCCGTAGATCCAGTTTTCTACACTCACCTGAAGTCTGTGGGCTTGTTGGAGCGGAGCTGAGCTGAGTGTTAGTGAAGGTGAGGGCAGAGCAGCCGGTTATCCGGGGGAGGAGCTGCTGCAAACCGTGAGCCATGACACGTTCACAGGTGCAGCTAGAACCTTCGAGTGGGGTGGCCAGGTAAGACCCAGGGGCCATATTACAGAAAATTCTTAAGTCTGAGATCATATCTTATTTGCTCTGTTGTCATAGTAACTTCAGTTAAGACTGAGTTTAGGACAGAAGCCATTACAGAACAACAGTTATTAAGTCTGTAATCTTCTCTTATTTCCAGATAAGAAAACATCCAAAGTTGCCAAAATACCCTAAATATAGTTAAGCTGTCTTAACTTCTGTTTAACTGTCTGTTTCTATTGTTTTATGCAGTGAGAGCAGCTCAGTTCACTGTAACCAGCAGAATGAAGCCACATTTATCTACACTGAAAACGGAGCTTTGACTGAGTTTTTTAATTTAAACAGCGTTTTTAAAGATCTCAGACGCTGCAGACTCGATCTCCACCGCCCCTCTGATCACCTTCGTGTGTTAATGTTGATGATGAAATATTACAGTGACGGTGGTGAATAATGAGGAGACGGAGCTGAACGTGTGTCTGTTTATTAGGAGGAGTAACGTTAGCGCGCTCGGCTAAAGCGTCTGGGAAATGGAGACTGAAACTGAGAGAGGCGAGGCTCTGATAAACAGCAGGGGGCGCTCTCACAATATTATTAACTTTTAGTTAATAATTAGCTTTAGTTTTATTTGACCTTTTTTACCTCGGTAATGGTAGCTAACGTTAGCTGTCTGGCTAACTAACTTGATTACGTGTTCACGTTTCAGCTGTGTGCGTATGGTCGGTTGCTAGGAAACAGACATTGTTGGCTTCAGTCGCGAAAGTTAAGATTTCCTAACTTGAGATCAGATAAGATGCTGTGAGATAAGATCAGATTTGCTTCTGTCATATGAATTTGTGAACAATCTTATCTTGACCTGTCAGATCTTAAGTTAGGACAAGATGATGGGACGTTTCCAGGGGCCGTATTACAGAAACTTCCCATATTTTTGTCTTAACTTCAGATCTGACGGGTCAAGATAAGATTGTTCACAAATTCGTATATAATGGTGAGAATTTTTAGGCACCTCACGATTCGATTCGATTACGATTCAGAGGCTGCGATGCGATTATAAAACGATTATCGATGCATCTTTTTTTCTATACAGCATTTCTATTTTCTCACTGTCTGAGGACTTGGTAATGTTAAAGCTAAGTTTCTGTAATGATCCATAATGAATTTACTTCCAATATCTTTTATTAATAAGTCAAATGGAAGTGATGTGGCAAGTGAACTAGAAGACTCTCATTCACTGCTCTTGTTTGGAGAAGCTGCTGCCACTCATCTGCGATAAAATGCGCAGTTACGGTGAAATAAGGTCCAGTGGCAGTGGATGACCACGCAGCGCGTTACAGCCGTCCTGCCAGTTTTCTTTAGTGATTTTATCACTTCGGTTTTGGTCTCGTTGTAGAGGCGGTCGCTGTGTCAGTAAAGTATCTTCGAAACGGGTCGTGTGCAACATAACGACTGAGAATTGGCGTGCAGACTGCAGGTCACATAGCAACGATGCGGTATTCACATTTATGAGCAGCGCAGTTGGTTTCCTGGTACGTGAATCTGCAATGAGAGACAGTCACACACTAAAAAGTGGCGAAGCTGAAGTCGCTTCTCTTTCGAATTCTCCCGTTCCACCTTAAATGGTGCCGCATTTACATTCGGCACCTCAGTCAGAAAGGTGGAACGGAAAAATTCGAACAAGAAGCTGGAGAATAAGAAGCGACTTCAGCCTCGGAAAACAGCCGAACACTGAGACATTTTACAATAAGCTGCTCTACTTCTGAGGAAAAGTTTTCTGGCGGAGATGGGAGGAAAGCGGCTATAGCTGAAGCTTAAAGCAGAGCAAAGTAAATCTGTGCTCTCGTTTATACTGTTTAGCCTAAACTAGGACATTAACCCATACTGAGACATACTGGACATAAATGTTGTGGCTCCCAAGGTGGTTTGATTTTTGTTGAAAGGACAAAATGGCTCTTCTTATCATTTGTGTTGTGACTCCTGACCTAACCTGGCTTTAATGCAGAGGGAGCCGGTCGGATTTCTCACTCATCCATGTGTGTTTCTGTTGTGTGCCGCCACAGACTGTCCGGGCGCTGCACTTCCGCACTCCCAAGTTCCGCCTTTTGCGTTCCGTCAACGTTCCATTATACATTAAATATTTTTGATTTTTGACATTTATGAATCGATTCAGAATCGTTCACGTCCGCATCGCGATGCATCTAAGAATCGATTTTTTCCCGCACCCCTATTCGTATAACAGAAACAAATCTGGGGCCGTATTACAGAGAATCCTTAAATCTGAGATCTGCTTTGTTGTCATGGCAACTTCAGTTAAGACTGAGTTTAGGACAGAAGCCATTACAGAACAACAGCTCTTCCAAAGTTGCCATAGTATCCTAATTATTTTCCAAACTGTAAGACAAACCCAGAGCGTCTGAACTTATCTGGAGTTGATGATGAGATTATGAAGTTAGGAACTGTTATTCTGGAATAGCCACTGTCCGAAATTCAGTCCATGCTGAAGTCGTCATGGTGACTAAGCAGATAAGGTTTCAGACTTAAGACGGTTCTGTAACACGGCCCCAGATTTCCACCATAAAGCATAATTGATGCTTTATTAATGATGTATGACTGATGATGGCCGGCTGTCTCTTTCCATAACTGGGGTGGTCAGAAGGGCACTGGCCACTCATGGCCGCCCCTTGGCTACCCCTCTGGGCACATTTACATATTAACTTGGTTTCTAATATTTCTAATATTTCTAATATTATGAAAGCAATCAGTACAAACGCTACACTTTGAGACATGCTGTGTTCAGGTTTGCAGCTACACACTTCCACACTACAGCACCCAGACACTTTCCCCACTTTACGAAAGGAATTGGCTAAAAGGGGAAGCCCACCAACTTATCAAAGTTTCTATTTGAACCCAAGGCATCACTTGAGATAATAATAATCTCAATATATGCATAATCATCACTTATAGGGTGCTTTCCATCAGTGGCGTAACTAGGATCTCATGGGCCCCAGTGCAAAAAAATATGAATGGGTCCCCCATATGAAAATTACTTTCAATTAAAAAAAATTACATGTAATATGTTTGATTTTTTCTGTTGTGTCTCAAATGAGTAGATGCACTCAAGCCATCCACCCATCAGCATCTAATGTTTGATGTTAGATGTTCCTGTGGCTGACTGGCTTTCCTATAAAAAAAGCTTATCAAAGATATCTCATTTATCACTAATTAGCACCCCACCCACAAATATTCACAGGGTTGCTGATAATAATAATAACTCTTATTGTACTTGTTTGTATTTGCGCTGAAATTTCCTTCACTTTACTGTAATGTTCATCTTTCTCTCCACTATAAAACACTTTGAGATCTTCTAACTAAAATCTAACATTTGATATTTCAGTTTGCCCGTACATCCATCAGCACGACCACAAGTAACTGTAAGAGAGAACTTGTAGAGAGGAGATTTTCCACTCTGTAATGTCTCCTGGGTTTCTTAAACACTAGAGGGCGCTGCCGATCCTGTCCAAAATGAATGGGTTAAGATGGAGCATTTGAGCAAAATCATAGTTTAAAAATGCTTAAAGATTTTTAATATAAACAAATTTACTTAGTTCCTGAACACAGAACAACATAAAACATTTTAACACTGCTGTTATATTTTAAGAGCTCTTAAACTCGAGTTATAGGAGTTTAAAACGGCGCCTCATGTACGTTGATAACATCAGTGAGCGCGAACAGCCAATGAGCTGCTCCGCTCGCCAACCAATCAGCCTTCAGAAGCAGTAATGTTAACGTCCTGCTGCCCAAAACCTGTTTACTGTAGAAAAAGGAAACATACAGGTGAGTTTTCTTTGCTTTTTTACTGAAATCCATCCTTCTACTGTCTAAAATTAAAGGAAAGTTCTGGTTCAGTGATTAGAAACTATTTTAACTTTTCGTTTTTAGCCGTTGAGCTCCATTCACTCCCATTCATTGAGGACTCACTCGTGGGTGCCCTCTGCTGTTTAGCGGTCCTGTTTTTAATATAATGGGGGAAATAGGAAGTGGCCAGACTCCTCATAAATCAGCTCTGACTGTAATATCACTACACTACATCACCATCAAAAGTACTTTAGCCTCCTCCAGTGGCCACTGCGGTACAGGCTGAGGCTGTAACTGCTACACCGTTTAAGGTAGAACAGACAATTAGAAGCAGCTGCAGGCAAACAGGAAGCAAACTTCAGCCTCGTCTCAAAACCTACAAACCTAACAGATCTCAAAGATCACCCAGGACCAGTCAGCAGACCAGGCCTAGACTTAACACCATGGAGTGTAACTGGCGAGGCAGCGTTCGGCCCCAGATCTCCGCTCCAGTTTTGTCCATCTTTAAGTCTGGACTAGAGACACTTGCCTTTGATATTTAAGCTTCTTCTGTCACAACTTGACACTAATCTAAGGTTGAGTCTCAAAGTGCTCCTATTTTGCACTTCACAGGCCAAGAAACTACAGCTTCCACACCCAAACAGTGCTGGGAATGTTATACGGATCATTCTGCTGAAATCAGAGCTGGAACACATTTGGGACTTTTAACTAAACTTGGACTTCAGACTAAAACCCTTTTGAGAAAATTGAACAGCCAGTCATAACTGTACCCAAACTTTACCAGATGTTTCAGTCGTGACTATTTTAACTCATTTTGAGCTCAGAAACTCAGCCAGTACATGACCAGTAAACACAGCTTCGAACAGCTGTTCACACAGAAAATCAGAATATATTTTTTATTAAAACACTAAAAAGTACTTAAATGGAAAAAAAGATCATCCTTAATGTTCCACACTGATTTTCAGACTTTGGGACACATTTAAGTCAAAACAATGGGATCTAACTGCTCACCATGTGGCCATGAGGGACAGGGAT